AAATCAAATCATTTTCTAATCAGATAGAAATTAATGATATTTTATAAAAAGAAGCATTAGTTTTTAATGACTATGATCATGATAATGTCTTAGGATGTTGGATAATTCTCTGCAAGACCAAAAGAAAATGAATAAAAGCCAGTAGGGATGTGTTGGATCATGTGTTAAAATTTGAGATTTAAAGTTCACAAATGAGAAAGCTTTTAAAAAATATTTACCAGACTCAATTGTTGACATAGGTAAAGGGGAACAAAGAGTCAAATATGCCCCAGGAATAATTTGAAAGCACATCCAGAAAAAATTAGCATTCAGGGATAATTAGCAATGAAAGCTGAAAGGGACATGATGAGTTCAAATTAAGACATTCAAGATCAGTGTGTCTGATTTCACTAAAAAGAGCTTTTCCAATAAGCAGATGGAAATATACTCAATTGATTGAATGCAGGGAAGTAAATGAGGGAATAAGTCTAAAAAGAGATATATTTGAACTCATGCATTTCAACATGCCAATGAAAGTATTGAAATTAAGTACAGAAAGAGCAGAGCAGAATGCTAGGAATAAAGTTTACAGATGTTAAAATTTGATTAGATGAATGTTAAGTAGTTTAGAGAGTTGGATTTTTTTCTTGATGTTGCACAAGTGCAATCAGGTAAAGTAAAACAACTTTCAATGAAGTATATAATTTGTATTTGCATGTTATTGTCCCATGTTAAGGATCTGTAAGTTTATGAACTCATTGATTCACCAAAAAAACAATACTTACTTAGTGCCTCCCATGCATCAGACCTTGTAAAAGATGTTATAAGCTGTGCTAGTTTTGGTCCCAAACTAGGCTAGCAACAAATACCAAAAGAATAGCTCAACTAGGCCACCAAAAATAAATAAATAAAAAACCATCCTGCTCCAGATGCCTAGAGTGCACATTTCCTTTTGTTTCCCTTATCAGACATTTGGCCATCCCTAAAAGGCCCAAATGCTGCCTCTTTTGTGAAACTTTGGGAATTCCTGCAGCTTGGATTAGTCAAATCCTTGCCCCTAAATCACTTTTTCCATAACACTCTGTTGCTTTATATTACAACTGTCTGAACAATGCAACCTGTGAGCAATATTTTATTTCTATATCTCCAGGATTTAGACCACATACTACAGGCATTTAGTAAGTGAATATTATATGGAAAATTCATATATCTTTACTTGTATTAGCAAAAGGCATATCACACTTTAAAGGGAAGAGGCTTTGTAAATGGGTCTTTTATATTCATTTTTGTTCTATGTAGTTTCAAAAGGATAAATTTATACAGTCGTAAACATATAGAAAATTAAAGTATGTTCACTTATGAGACTTTGAAAGAAAATTATCGTTATTTTATTCATATTTCCTTATTTGTTTCTAAATTTCTCCTCATTGACCTTTCTGCTTTTTCTCCCACTATAAAAGATTGATTTCCACAGCTGTAATGGGTTTTAAATTAAACCTGGCAACATTTTTAAAAGCTTGCATAGCTATCATATCACATAAAAATTGGAAAACCCTGCCTCATTCATTCACTCATAAGTAAATATAATAATGTCTACCATGTGGTAGATACCACAAAGGAAATTTAGACTTATTTTAATCTATAGCTAGACTGTTGATTAAAAATATACATAATGACCAAATTCCAAATTTTATCTAAGTGCCATACCTCTAAATTGCCTTAAAAAAAAAAATACTAAAAGCCTTAGTAGCTGAAGAATGAATTGAGAGGAACTAATGAAAATTACTAAGAATCAGAAAAACATTCATGGTTCAGAAACCAGCTAATACAAATACTTAAATATCCACCCTAATTCATGTAGCACGTGCATTGTACACCTACTTTTACTTAGCAATTTGGTAAAGTTGACCCAGAGTCTTAAAAATGTTGACAGTCTTTAACCCTGAAATCCCACTGTGAAATTGCTTTGACTTTTCAGGACCTCAGGATAGAATTCCTTATCTTGTGGTGGTTCTTGTTGCTATTGGAAGAGAGAAAAGATAAAGGGATTTTAACATTTAATAAATACTGTTCTGTGTAATGAATCTTGCTGAGCACTTTGCATTTTATTCCATTTCACCATCACAATCAATCTACTAAATAGTGGTGTGGTTCAAAGCTTAGAGATGGTGAGATGCATCCCAACAGATCACATAGCTTAATAAGGCCCCAAGTCAGGATTCAAGCTCAGCTCCATCTAACTCTGAAATTCTAATGATTTTTCTCTTATTACTAAATGGCTGTTTCTTGATGTTTATTATTTTGCTTCAAATCTCAATGCTCTAAGAAATATGGGGTGGTTGGGAATGTATAGCTTGATGACAGAGTGCTTGCCTAACATGTGGAAGGCCCCAGGTTTGATCCCTAGTTGCACAATTAATAAGTAAGTAAATAAATAAATAAATAAGAAATAAAATTTTTGAGAGGTGAATATAATAAATTCATAACATTTATTTTCATGAGTTTTTCTTTTAACCACTTTTCCTTGCTTCATATCTCATACCAAGGGAAATATACCTTCATGGCTCATACTAAACAGAAACAATTTAAGAATGCTAAATACTTGCTGGATATACTTACATATTAGTATAATTTGGATGGATATAAAAAACCTTCATTAAAAAAGGCTTCCTGGTATAGACCACAGGCCCCAAAACTCAACTAAGCAGATCTACTCACCCAAATGATTTTGAAGTCTTCACACTCATATTCTCTCATTTTTATCATTACAACTTAAAAACAAGTATGTTATAAATAGAGATGAAATAATCTAGTATCTAAGGTATATTACAATGATTCAGAGCATGCATTCTAAGGAAAGACTTTCTCATCATAAATCTATACTATGTACCTTTGACCAAATTACTTAACCTTTCCAGGCCACCCTTAATTTTCCCATGTAGAAAATAACCTTAATAATGGTATGAACACACATAGTGGCTAGAAGATTTAAATAACAAACTGAATACCAGTAACATAGAACAATGCCTGGGCATATTGTGTTCAATATGTTTTAGATTTATGGATACTCATATAATAAAGAAAGAATGCTATTGCCAATGTTATATATAATAAGTCACTTAGGAAAAGATTTAACTGTCTATTACTATTATATAATACATCAGTAACTAATTGAATGGCCTTAGACACAGATGCACAACTATGTACATGTGTGAAATAAATTTCTGTGTGCAAGACTTGAGAGAAATTTTTAAGTGTTGAAGCACATACAAAAAGAAGTAATATAGGTCTCTTAGAGAGGGCTGACCCAATACCAACAAAGAGGTTCATATTGTTCTAAGGTATAAAAAGTATTATGTCTCGGCCTTAAAATAATGGATCTTCTGGAGAAACCATTGTTGTCAACAGAAACTTTTTAAATTCTGAAAACTGAACTCAGCCTTCTTGAGGGCTGACTAGTTTCAACCTGATAAATCTCCTTTAAAAAGTAATTTTGTGGGGCTGGGGATGTGGCTCAAGTGGAAGCGTGCTCACTAGCATGCATGAGGCACTGGGTTCGATTCTCAGCACCACATAAAAATGAAATAAAGATATTGTGTCCACCTAAAACTAAAAAAAAAGTAACTTGTGTACTGTGCTAGACATTAAACCTAAAATTAGAAATGGCCCTGGTAAATTGCTATTTTGTGGCTTTTCTATACAGAAAGAACACTCAAGGCAGTATATCAAATATTAGTGACAAATTCTTTTGTTGATATTGAATCAGACACTTTACCATGCAGGTCCACTTGACAGAATTGAATTAGCTTGCAGGATTTTCTCAAATGTAAATATTTGCTTTGGCTAAATAATGTTCATAGGAAACATTACATATTCCATTCAGCATAAAGATTTCTTTTCATTGATTCAGAAAGCTTATGTTGCAACTAAGTCTGAAGGAGAAAGAAAATAGAATGAAAGCTTTTGAAACCAGAACTTTAGCTGCCACTACTACGTGCCCTACTCCAAGTTCACGTTTAATTAAATTTATACCTGCAATTCCATAAATGGTTGAATGTTCATAGAACATAAGTTATCTTCTTTGATCCTAAGGTCAGATACTTACTGCTAACAACTCTTTAACCTCTAAGGAGATTTGGCCCCCTGCCAAGCTGTACAGCTTCTCCCATCGGGGTAGGCCCACCACTACTATCAAACTCCATGGGGGATGATGTGACACCAAGGAGCCCCAGGTTGCTTGGCAACAACCCCTATGACTGCTCTTCAGAGACTGCTAGGCAACATTGCTGTGTTTGACCTAGCTGTTCCCAAGTGCACTCCCAGCTCAATGGCTATCAAGAGGGCCAGGTTCACAGGAGGCCAGGGGCTCCTGCTCCAGTAAGTGACTAGTTACATAATCAGCACACATATTTCTCAGAATGCTCTTCAACTGTCACTAAATAAAAATCAGAGCAGAGCTAGTTCCTACCCTGAAGGGTACCCTTGAAAGTATCCTTCATTTAAACTCTCTCCTTGGAGGTTCAGAGAAGCTGACAGAAAAACTAAAGCATCAGAACCAAAATCTGTGACCAAAAAAATGTCTTAAGTTAAAAAAAAAAAAAAGAATATCATGAAGTCACATTTATCAAATCACATTTAGAATATGACTTTCAAATCTTCATAATTTCAAAGATTTTTACTGTTTAGCTATTTTCTGTTCATAAATGAAGAAATAGGGAAAACATAACTTAAATCACATCCCTCTTACTGAAAACCTGTAGCTACGATATTTGAACACCTAACTCTATTTCAGTACAGAAATTTCTAGGAAAGGCCTTAAATTCTTACCTACAATTAAACTCACCTTTACATCTTCAGTCTCAACATTTCCATAGTTTCACACCCTAAAATTCAACAAGTCTAAAGTAGTCATTTTTTTCATCCATAACTGATTTACACCTTAGAAGGCAATCAGCTACTTAAACAATTTATGAACTTACCCACTCAAACCATGAGTCCAGCCCTGCCCACATATCCCTTACCTCTGTTATAGGCAAAGAGTTGTATGCTCACAGGTACATGCATTGGCAGCCAGCACATACCACAGTACAAATAAGATTCCATTATTCCCCTAATTCAAAACTTTCAATCAAGTCCAATATATCTAGCAGAGTATGAAAGGCAATTCTGAATCTCTTTCTTGTCCAGCTTCCAGCCACATTTCTTGTTGCTATGCCAAAGAGTACACACTTCATTATGTTGACTTAATTATAGTTTCTTAAATACATTATGCAAGTCTCATTTGTGAACACTGTCCCCTTTGCCTGACAAACTACTGGGTATCTTTCAAGATCTGACAATAAAAACACCACCTCCACACCAAGCAACTGGCCCTGATTTTAAGATTTCTTATCCTCTGAGTATACTCATACTTGATTCATATTGCTATGGGGACTTTAGTCACAATGTTTTCCAGTTATTTACCTACCCAATATTAATCCTCTGCCTCTTCAATGACTGGGACCTTGTTCGGTAAAGTCGATCTCCTCAGGCATATTCCATGACAGTAAGAAGATGTTTATATTATAATTTATTAATGATTAGAGAACAGTACTCCTAGGCAGAAATATATGAAGATTGTGAATCTTTTCATTTTTAACCTCTTCAACCTTCCAGGAGGCCATTACCCAATATCAGAGATGTGAAATAATTCACCAAAAACTAAAAATTCAATCTTCTGACTACTGAGCTTGTTGTCTTCTTTCCAAACTAAAGTGAGTAATTATAGTTAAGTAATCAAATACCCCTAATTCATCCAGTAAGAAGATTAAGAATAATCAGACTTCCTGTGTCTTTTTTTTTTTTTTTTTGGTTTTGGGGATTTTAACCAAGAGCTTTACATATGCTAAGCCAGAGCTCTTCCACTGAGCTGCATTCCCTAGCCCATATTCCCTATATTAAAAGCATAGTAACATGAAACTCAAGGGAGCTACATGTTTAGGTAACCAAATCCCCAAAAGCTGGTTTGGATCCATTCTGATTAGCAAATTTTATATATCTAGTTCATGCAGGAATTTTTTGGTGCAACTAATATAGGGGAAATAATACAACAACTAATTTAAAGCTAACTAAAAACTAAGAAAAAGTTATCCTAATTTGAAAACATAAAAATTCACAGTGTTTTACTCAACATCTGCCTTTCTCAAAATACTAACTGAAATATTAAATTAAATGAGCAAATCATGCACAAAAGACCATGAATGTAGCAGTCGAACATAACATCACAAATCCACTCAACCTTTCCCTTACCACCTTCAGAGCTAGAGATACATACAAGCCTTCATTCTCATGTTTTTCTGGAACTTCTTAATTTCGTGCATATGCATAACCTGATTGCTAATTATTTTTATATTAGCAGTAATATGATTATCTAATTTAAACCAATCTATACACATTTTAATCAATGGAAATCTGAATTAATAGCCTGCCTATGTTGAGAAGACGAGGGAGAACTCCTAGTCTATTATGAGTGTGTGGATTCCATATGGTGCAAAGTCTGTGTTTCTTCAACCAGGAAGCTAGTACTGTGGGAAATATTGGACTAGGACAGAAAGTACTCACAATAACAGAATAAAGTTTGTAGGCAATTTTCCTTGATATTGTATGTCTTAAAATATTACTTATATATTAAGACAAAATAGGCACATTATAATGTAGAATGCAAATTATATATAAATTTGTAAGATCAATGTAAAATTTGAAAGAAGATTTGTCCCTTCAACAGAGAATTTTGCCTATAAATTTAATGTCTGTAGATTTCTGGGAATTCTTTGGTGAAGAGAGTGAGAAGCCCCTTTTTTGTGGGTGTAACTCCTCCCTAGGTTATATTAAGAGGGAGATTTCTTCTTGGATGTATGCACACACACACATACACACCCATATGTAGGCTTGGCTTTAGCATATCATCACCACATTTAAACTCAATGTGCTACCCCACTTAGATATATAATTATTGATTTTTAATTTCAGTTTAACTTTTATGACAGTTTTTTTTTTTTTTTTTTTGGTGGTGGTGGTTCTAGGGATTGAACCCAGCGCCTTGTGAGGCAAGCACTCTACCAACTGAGCTATAACCCTAACCCTTCTTAAATTTTGAGAAAAAATTCTTTATCTTTCCAATATTAGTCCTAAATATGCAGGTCCTTACAGAACATCATAGAATCAGTCCAAACCCTGACCATGAAAAGTGATGATATTGTATAATAGACTAAGAAGTCTCCCTAGGAATTGTAGGGAGACTTCTTAGTCTATTATAAATAAAAAGTCATCAGTCTATTATAAATAAAAAGTTATCAGTCTATAAATATTTTTGTGTTTATCCACATATCAACAACCTATTAAAATAATTTTTGATTCATAAAGTACAATACTGATTATGTGATTCCACAAAACATTCAAGGATGACCCTTAGCTCTAAATTTAAACCCAAAGTCTTCATCCTGAAGTTTAAGGCCTTCCACTACAGCCTCAATCTATCTTTTTAATTTTTTTCTGTTTTAGTATCTTTGCTCACTCTTGCTCTTATTCAGAATGTTTTATCCACTCATGTAAATTCTATCAGTCCTTCAAGAACCATTCCAATTACTACAGCCTCTATACCATTTTTCTGATTAGCCTCAAAGTTCACCTTCTTCTTAAACTCCATCACTATTTCTTTCATGGAACTTATTACACTCTGCCTTGAAGGACAGTTGTGTGTGCTCACCTCACTGAAACAGATAAAATTCTAAGTACCTTATAAAAAAGATGGAGTCCCAATCATTCCTATATGTACTACATCATTGAAAGCAAATGTCTGAATCTAGGAAGATGCTTTTTTATGTTTTTTTTAAATTTTTTAATTTGTTCTAATTTGTTATACATGACAGTAGAATGCACTTTGACACATGGTACATAAATAAAGCAAAACTTCTCAATCCTCTGGCTGTACGTGGTACAGTCACACCCGTGGTGTAATCAAATGTATATATAGGGTAATAGTGTCTGTCTCATTCTACTGTCTTTAGGAGAATGCTTTTTAATAGACATTTGTTTATATGAGTTCAGTTAACTTTTCATCTCAAAGATGCTTGTACTGACTTATAGAATCCCTTCAAACTTAAAGGAACCACCCTTGGAAATGAATCAAAAATGAATGGATATATATAGCATTAAAATATGAAATTACAGGCTTTATTTAGAAACACAGGAACTTTTTTCAATGGGGTGACTTCATGATGAAGAACTGAAATCATTATTAATATTGGTAAAATCATGTTGAGAAAAATCTGAAATCTCAAGAAATTAAAAGACTTCCCTAGGGTCTTATGACTAATTAAAAACTGAGTTGGCTATACAAAAAACTTTTTAATTTCCAGTTTATTTTGTTTATTTATTTCCAGTGTGATTTTCCCCAAAATTATGTCCTAAATTATAATAGTATCAGAAATGTTTTCTCAAATGCGAGTTGAAAAAATAATTATATAAAGAGGAAACAGTCCCTTCCTTCTTTTTTATTATTTTTCTTTAAGATATTTTAGTGTGGATAATTTAAAATAAAATTCATTAATTAGTTAGAAGATTACACTGAACAAGATTTATTTATACAAAATTTATTTGCAACTTAAACTACAAAGAATATAGTCAAGAATCAGGATATTAAAATATACTGTTGTTCAGTATATAATATATATACTGAATATATGCTGTTTTTCAGTCATAAATATATAGTATATACTGTTATTCACTTATAAATTTCATGAAAAATCTGTCAATGATGCTTACAGTTTTTACACATAACACAGTTTATAGGTTTAATCAAAGTCTGTTTATGCCTCGCTTTGTTTTAACCCATTTGTCAGTAGTTTTCAGGATGATAGTAAATATCTTTTTCTGCTCAACATTACCCTTTGAAAAAACCTTCCTTTCTCTTACTGTTTGATTCAATTGTTTCCAAAAATGATAAGAACCAGAGTAGTCAGTGCTTCAATTGTCTCTAGTTGCAGTGATTGTTTCAGAAATGGTGTGACTCACATGTGCCCAACAGGCTTATTACATTTTCCCAACCACAGCAATTGCTTCAAGGATGGGCTTATGATACAAGTTGGTCCATCCTAGAACTTGCTTCAAAGCCACTGAGCACAGACACACTTGACACACTTTTTCTTTGAGTTCATACTTGAGTATTTAGTTCTGAACTGTCAGTAGCTATTTTCTCACTAACAAGAGCTGAAAATGAAGCCAAGTAGAATAGTAGATTCAAAAAGGAAAACAGGTCATTATAAAACAAACTTCAGATCAAGCTATGACTAAAGACACAGTATTTCAGTTACATAAATCTGATAAATTTCTCCTTTCTCTTTATGCCAATTTGCTGTGAGTTTTCTATCAATGGTTAACAATAATAACTATAATATTCCTAACAAATGTGCTTAACTATCAGAGTTTCTCATCACCCAAGAGCTTTAAAAAGTCCACCTAGAGATAAAACAGTGATACAACATACTTGAGATAAAACAACAGCAGAAAGGTTAAAAATTAAGAAGACAGATGACTTTGACTTAAAAAAAAAAAAAAACTTCAAAATTTTCAAAAGTGTTTGACCTTTATGTCAGTTTCACTCCATATAGCATCCTGGTAAACACCTTAATCCCAGGAAAAACGGGATATTTAGTCATGCTAAATTGAAATACAGAGATATTTGCATTAATTTGCATTAACAAGAAGACAAGGGGTCATTGGTTCATGGAGGACTCAGGCAGGTGGTAGTGAAACTGTGAGGTTACTTTGGTTGGTAGGAAAGAAGATGGTAGAAGACTAGCCAGAAGTACACAATCAAGCTCTCCATTAACTTGTGTTGATAGAAATATGGAATCCACTGAAATACATCTTACTCTGATCACTAAAAGCAAAGAGAATGAAAATAGCTAGAAACTATAAAAATGTTACTTTGAGGTGGTAAAAGACAGATGTAGATCAAGGTAGCTTAGTGATGATGGAATAAGGTTCAGAAATGGTGACAAGAAAGCATGTGGGTGAAATGTCTGTCACTATGGTTAGGAAAACAATGAGGAAGGTAGTAAGATCCATGGCAGGTGAGAGGTTGAGGGCACGGGGCAGCTATTTCAAATCAATGAGGAAAGAATCAACTACAGAACAAATGGAGTTGGGACAGAACTAACCATTAAAAAAAATAATAAATTTAGATCACTACTTTATTCCTTACTAAAATAACTTTCAAGCAGTTAAAAATTTAAAGAGAAACAAAAGACACCAAAAGTACAACAAGCAAACAGATCAACAGTTTTGCAACTGGGAAAGGACTTCTCAAACTTCACAAAGTCAGAGATAATGTGAGAATAAATTGATAGATTTGACATTCATAATAAATAAAATATCTACAGTGCAAAGCATCCTAAATAATTTGTGACTTCAAAAAAAGTTGATTTGGGGGTTAGAGTTGTGGCTCAGCAGTAGAGTACTTACCTAGCATGTGTGAGGTGCTAGGTTCAATCCTCAGCACCACATAAAAATAAATAAATAAAATAAAGGTATTGTGTCCAACTACAAGTATGTATGTGTGTGTGGTTGTGTGCGTGTGTGTATATATATATACACACAAATACACACATACACATGTATGTGTATATAAATACAC